CTTAATTTATGGAAAACTTCCTGGGCTACAAGAACATGATCAAACATCGACCTTCCTTTCAAAAAGTCCGCTTGTTCTTCAGAGACCAATTGAGGAATAATAACTGACAATCTATTCAAAAGTACCTTTGCCGCCACTTTATAAACAGTATTGCACAGACTAATAGGTCTAAAGTTAGAAGGAGATAAAGGGTTGCTTGCCTTAGGGATTAATACAATAAGTGTCTCTTTCCATTCCTTACACATCTACCCCAAGCAAAAGAAGTGATTGATTGCGTTTCAGAAATCTTCCTTAATGATGGATCAATAGGCTTTAATAAACGAATAAGAAAATATCATCATTTCTCGGAGAAATGTTCCCACCAACCTCCCTGATCACGAACACCACTTCTTCTAAAGAGAATTCTTTGCTTAACATATGAACATCATCTTCATCCAAAATTTTGCATGTGGACGGCCAACCGGTCAAAGAGCAATTTCAATCTCTCCATTTTTGCTTAAAGAAACGGAACAATACATCTTCAATTTGGTGTTGATCCTCCACCATAAGTCCATCATTTTTAATTTTGTAAATAAAATTAGCGTTCCTTCTTGCACTAGCAAAAGCTTGGAAAATTTTGGAGTTCCTATCGCCATCAAACATCCATTTGATTTTTGCATGTTGCCTCCACCATGTATTCAATCGAGCCAAAGTAGAATTCAGCTCATTTACTTTGACTTTAAGTGACCAGATGTCCTCAGCAAAAAGCCAACCAATTTCAACTTCTTTTTCTTGTAGCTTCAAGATCTCCCCTTTAAGATTTTCCTTAACAAGAACTAAGTTTTTCAACTTGGCTCTACTCTAATAAAATAGATCCTTCAAGGCTCTTTTCATCTTGTACTTAAGAACTTGAGACGAAATCCCAAAAGTTTCCTTCCTCCATGCCTCCCTCACTACCGATTTAGACGCCGGGATAGAAGCCCAAACATCTTCAAATTTGATGATTTTCTTACACAAAGGACAGAACTCTAGCAAGTTTAAGAGAAGCGCACAATGGTCCGATGCAACTCTAGCCAAGTGCCTAACCACCATATGATGAGAAGAATTGGAAGCAGCTGAGTTTACAAAATATCTATCAAGCCTTTCCAGAATCCGTTCAGCACCAGCTTTATTGTTACACCATGTAAATTTTGGCCCAACACAACCAACCTCGTGTAAGTCGTTACAGGTCAAAAAGGATTTCATCTCTTTGGGTCCTTGGGAAAATATAAACCTTCTCCCTCCCCTTTTGTCCTCCTTAGTAAGCAAACAATTGAAGTCATCCCATAACACCATAGGCAAGTCACTATCAGAGAATGATTCTAATTTTTTCCAACGCAACCTTCTTATGTAAATATCTTTATTACCATAGATAGTAGCCAATCTCCATCTACCTTTATTGAGAACATCTAACTCTCCAATAACCAATTGTGGAGAAGAATCCAATACTTTAAATGAAGCAATATTATGTTTCCATAATACCAAAATTCCTCCTGACAAACCTTCAGAAGGAACTTGAAAATAATCTCATTTCGTACCAATTAGAGAATTTATCTCTCTTCTCTCTATAGAAGTCAATTTGGTTTCAATCAACACCACAAAAAAAAACCCCATGATCATTCACAATCTCTTTGAGATATAGAGAAGCTTTCTTCTTTCTAGCTCCTCTACAATTCCAAAAGATTATTGAAGACATTATTGAACAAAAGGGGAAGAGGTCCCCACCTTATCCTTTTGATCAACACCTCCTCTTCTACTCTTAGTAACCAGCTTAATAAGTCCCAAACCCTTAAGTTGTTTTGAACCTTTCTTCTTAACATTAGAAGACCCTCCATCTTTATTCTCCAACTCCACTTCCATAGTTTCAGGTTCTTTTCCCATTGAATTAATTTCAATATCTTTACTGATAACAGATTCTTCATGAATCAATCCCTCATCCTTTTCTATGCAAATTGTCTCCCCTTCCTCCACCACTTGATTTAGAATATCAAATTTGTTAACTACATTAAGAGTTTTACTTGAATTCAAAATAGTACCTCCTCCAATTCCCGAAGAATTGTTCACAGAGATGTTTTGAACATTAGAAAAGTCAGCTTCGGTAACAGGTACAGGCGCAGCTGATCCGTTTTCAGGCTCAGTACATTCTTCATTCATTCCAGCAATAATCTAATCCGTTTGATTAGCAAGGATAACTAAAGACTCCTTCGTTTTAGCAGCATCCTCCTTCAAAGGCCTTGTCCAGATTTTGTTGAAGCTATTATTTCTAAACCTCCCATTTCCATAGTTGACATGACCCAAGGTCCATATGTGGCTTTCCTATCTACTAGTCCGCCACCCAATGTCTCTTCAGCAACTCTAGGATCTTCCTTCTCAACTGAATCTACCTTTTTTGCATGATTGATCAATTGCTTAGAACCATGGTTGGTATCTAAACAATTTTCCACACAATTCTTTCTCAAATGACCTATCTTTCCACAATTGAAGCAAAAGTTGGACATCCTCTCATACTCTATCTTTTGGAAGAATTTACCTGAGCTTCCCTCCACCCATATGCCCAAAGGCAGCATATCATCTAGCTTGATTCGGACACAGATTCTAGCAAATTCTCTTCTCCCTCATTGGAACATATTCCCATCAATTAGATACGGGGTACCAACCATTGATGCAATTCTACAAATATCTACCTCATTCCACCATTGCAATGGAAGATTATGCTTTCTAAACCAAACTGGAACCATTAATCCCTTTAATGAAGTAGGTAAAAAGGAAGGTGACCATCTATCCATTCCTATGATATGTCCATTGACATACCAAGGACCATTAGAATAAACTGCCTCCATAGAACCGAATTCTTCAATGGCACATAGAGCCCACCCCATTCCAAGCAAAGTCATATGAAATTTTCCAAATTGTGACCATTGTCTTCTCAATTCCAAACCAATAACACGGAATGGAACATTCTCCCCAAATTCTTTAAATACCAAAGATTTCTGAAGCTTCTTTGAGTTTTCCAATTCATTTTCCAAATGTAACTTCACCACTGTATCATTCTGCATAAAACCATCACCATAATTAACATTCAGAACTCTGATATTTGAATTTTTGTTCCAAGAATTCGTCCCAGCCTGATGATTACAAACATTCGTTTGATTGATACCCGTGTTACAGTTGCCCAGTACACTTAAATCACAATTGCGAACCTTCTCGAGGTCATTAAAAGATGAATCTAGATTGTTATTTTCAGTTCGTGTTGCATCATCCGATTGACACCCAACAGAATTTCTCTTATTTGATTCTTCATCTAAATTATGGATCAGATCTGAATTAAGCTCAACAGCTTCTAGTTCTTTCAGTCTTTCATAACCCTTCTCAAACAGGTTGTCATCACAATCTCCATTTAAAGCAATCTTCGACCCTCCGTCGACATCCAATGAAACCTGAAATTGCATAAAACTGGAATTCAAAATCGCCTTCTCTCTCTAGAAAATTGGACCTTCTCTCTCTCCAATCAACAAACATAAATATCTAATATTGTTTCACCTGCTGTAAAGAACTTACTCTATTTATTCGTATATTATGTGATCTATTATAATTTGCCCAAAAGAAACAAAAGGAACTTTAGGAATGTCATGGAGTGTTATTCTGCAATATGTATCAGAATTTTTTCAGGGCTATCAAGTAAAAAATAGTGAAATGGAGCAAAATTCAGCTAATAAAAGAACAACTTTAGTGATGCTTTGGGATACTATGGAAGATAATGGACAATGATGAATGGTCACTATCACCTATTTTTCGTAGTTAAAATAGTTAATTCCAAATTATTAATCAAGTAATTATACTAGGCTGAATTATTATAATAAAGCAACAACAAGCTTAATGATCCAAATTACGGCTCTAATGAAGGTCTATGGCCTTCACAAATAGGTAGTATAAATTATTTTAGTTAATTATTAAATTAATTAACAAACCCATGATTATTTACCAAAATTAATTACTAATAAATAATGTGATATTATTTATGACAATAATTAATCCCTTCTTAGCCTTATTAATTCTTAATTAGAATAACTATATTTGGTTAGTCTAATTAATCAAAATAATCACTAAGGCCTATTTCCAAAACATGTCAAAACACTTATATATGTGCTTTCACAATTTTCAAAAATAAGAAATTAAAAACCATTTCCAAAAGGGCAATAACAAACCTAATGATCTAAATTGAGGCTCTAATTAACATTCATGGCTTTCATAAATAGGCAGTTAGAATATTTTTAGTTAATTATAAAATTAATTAACCAACCCATAATTAATTACCAAAATTAATTTACTAATAAAGCATGTAAACTTATTTATATCAGTAAGTAATCATTACTTGGCCTTATTAAATTTTAAATAGCATAATTAAAATTTTTTTAGTCCAATAAGTCTAATTAATCAAAATAATCACTTAGGCTTATTTCAAAAGAAAATGTTAAAAATGTCAAATATGTTCACAAATTCAGAAAACAGCCCATTTTGTTTTCAAAAATAAGAAATTAAAAACAACATTGCCAAATATGGTTTTTCTTCACTAAATCAAAAATAAGAAATGAAAACATCATTGCCAAAATATGTTTTTCTTATTTATTTAAGTACATATTGTTTAAAATTGGAAAAGAAAAGTGAATCAAGCATGACATTAATAGAATATGGATAATAAATATATTTTATAAGAACATTATTATATCCATGTATAATGGCTTTATTAATTTTCCCACTAACCAAATTCTTGCAAAATCAGACTCAGTTAAAAGTTAAAAACTGAGGCAAGCTTGCTTTCGAGCCCATCTCAATATAAAAATGCCTAAAATGATTAACCAGTAAACCTACCAAATTACATGCAACACTATAAATAAAACATGTAAATGCTTTAAATGAGGAAACCCACAAAACCAGTTTTATTCCAATTAAATTCTCTAACAAAACTCAGATAATTAGCAAACCTTACAGCCAGGAATGATCTCCTCTGTGATGCTTGGAATTGGTTTATATTCTATTCCAATTGTTTCAGACTGCCCATCAGTGAGAACAAATCTAAGGATACGATGCAGATGCGGCGAACTCCTAAATGAAGAATCAATGACACTTTGACTTATGTCCCTTACAGAAACTAGCTGCGCCAATAGAAACTTGAACATCATAAAATTTGGAACTTCACAAGTGAATTCACCATAATTAAATACAAATAAATGTTTGTTGAGGAGAGAGTAGTTAACTCAATGTAGGACAGGCATGTCTAAAAATAACTTCATGATAACATTTCAAAAAAGCAATAGTTGGTTGCAAAAAATAAGCAAACAAAGAAAAATACTGCACCTAAGAACATAAGTTCCCCATCCTTCTAGGACAATGGGACCTCTATTCCAAAATTAGGTGAAATTTCAATTAGGTTGGATGGTCTGATAAGAAAAACTAATATATATATATATATATATATGGACAAAAGTAGCTGCTGAAAGAACACCTAATATGCATGCCCGAAGTTAATTGCATGGTGAAACGGCTCGCATTATTTATTCAACTTACCTCAATTTCATTTAGGTCGGAATCCCTTATATTTTAGTGCATTCTATTTTCCCTTAAAAGTAGATGTATCCTCCAACAATCATTTGAGGAATGCAATATTTCAAAGAAAGAGTAGTAACAAGAATGATCAAAGAAAATATTATAATAAAGGAGTAATATTTGCCAAATAAAATATCTAACTTAAATTTAAAGATTAAAAAAAAAAGTTGGATACTTGCATCACACATCAATATCCAATTCAAATATTTCATAATGAAGGTATAAGTTTCAAATTGTGTGCTCCGAAAATTCATGTCCTGGCCTCCTCTTTTTCATGGGAGTTTTAACGGATTAAGTTCTGAGGTAAATTTTCAGAAGGTAGATTAGGTTTGAAACAAGACATTGCCTAGAGATTTCACTCTCATTTTGCGAGAACTATATGATCTGAGTTCTGATTTCCTATAGACGCAAGCCCCTATAATTAATTACCCCTCTTAATAACGAGAGAGAAATTCAATTAAGGCTAGTCATCAAATAGATACATCGAGATACATGATATATGGTGTACAGCAGCAGTAAGGGTTTAGGTATTTGAAATTTTAATATTTATAGTTGAAAATTTACTACCTTGCACTTAAAGCGGATGAAGGGGGAATAGATGATGGATCCGATCAAGATCCCAAGGTTCCGTCATCCCGGGCCCCTTCTGTCTGCTTATATGAATGTTACAGATCCGGTGGTATGCCATCACACTATGAGTTGCCCATTGCTTTATACAGGTAGACAGTTGTGCACCAATCATTGCCTTCTACTGTTAGATCATTATGCACTAATGAGTCTCCTGTGGTAAATCTTAAGCATTTGCATTTGGTGCTTGGTTAATGTTATTACGTCTACAACACATCTTCCGTCATTGTCAGCAAATGCTCACATTCATTTTAGATCCTCTCACGTTTATTTGCAAATAATGCACTACATGCATTAAGAGTCCCAAATAGTGGCCCGTAGTTATTATTACATGCTGCATATCTTTCGTTTCTATTTGCAAATGATATATGGTGTGTAGAGAGGGTCTCTCACAACAGCCCGTAGGTGCTCACATTTGCTACGTATCATTTGTCTTTGCATATAAGGGAAGTTAGTGTATTTAATTGTATGTTGATGTTGACCACCAATGAGTTGCATTCACTAAAGTGTTTTCAGCGTATATTGATTGACAAGCTACTGGATCTACTTGTGTATCGGATTTGTGTTCATTAAAGACTTCTTCATGTATCGTGTTCAAATGAAGGAGTTATTATACTCGTCGCATATTGATTGTTGTTATTTAGAGGGAATTGTTGTACTCATTCACCATTGCATTAATATTGATTGCAAGAATGTTGTTGTATTCAATGCATGTTAAATCCTTCTACTGCTTGCAGGATTTAATGCGCTTCATTTGTACACTAACATTACCTGTAGGATGAGCAATGTTCACCGTATATTGCAATAGTGGATCTACTTGTTAGCATACTAATGCTTGCATTTCAATTGCTTGTCGATCATTGAATAGCGAATGAGCTGCACTATTTTCTTCCTTCATATAGGTTGGCACGTGATCGTATTTGTTTGCATGTCTCTCATTTTTGTGTGCACTAAGGGCTTGTTCACCAGGAGTTCAATTGCTTGATTGTTGATATTTATTCAAACAATTCATGTTTTTAACTAGCGTTTGCATTTTCAATTTGATTAAGTAATTAACAATTCGAAGTCCAATTCCCTGCAGAAATTGTTCAAGTCCCCTACTGTTTTTATTCAAGTTCCCTACGATTGTTCAACTTCAGCTTTTTGTTTAAATCATTCAAGTTTGGTTCAAGTCCCTATAACTCATGTTCAGTTCGAGCCCCCTGCACTTAGTTCACTCGAGTCCAAGTCAAGTTCACCGTTAATTGTTTAAGTCTACTTATGTTTAAATCTGCGCAAATTTAATTAAGTTCAGCTCGTCGTCGTTTGTTCAATTTCAAGTCCCCTGTTCACTGGAAAATTCAACAACCTCTCGACGTGTCCCCCGTTTAGGGTAAATTCCAAGAGTCTAAGTCTCTTACAACGTGAGAGAAAAACGTATACGGTAGGTGTCGGATGACACCACGGTCATAAATCTTCAATCCCACAATACTAGAGAAAGGTGTGTATAGGTTTTTGAGATACCTATTTGAATAACACAATTGTTTCCCCGTAGACACTGAGGTGTCTACGGGTATTATATTCGTCCATGCTGTGCTAGAGAAAAGCGCATGCAGGGCCTACACACCTTGCTGTAAGCTTCACACTGGGTTCTCTTCTGGTGCACCACAAATGTCGAATGAGAGGTTTTGAGTTAAGAATGTTATACCTATGCGATGAGAGATGTGACGGCGGTGACGACGTAAATGCCATGACAAATGCACATAATCCCTCTCCTTTTTTCTCATTTTTTCAATCTTTCTTTTTTTTCTTCTTTTTATTCTTTTTTTGTGATACATATATGTAATTTATATTCAAAATTAACAAGTATAATACAACTATGATAACATTAGCTAACAAATAATATAAACATCATTAATTGATGATAACAAAAAAAGAAATGATATTAATATTAATATATATTTTAACATTAATGATGAAAGCAATAGCCACTGTGGTGATAACTAATTTTAATTGCGACAAATGGAGGAGAACAAATAGATTTGCTCTAGATTTACCTTGAGGTGGTTATGAGGTAAAGTGGGCTGGTGGGCTTAGTGGTTAGAGGAGAAATTGGCTTTTCTCTATGAGTGAGGAGTCAGTTGAGAATGGGAGGAAGAACAAGAGCAGTGGAGAGAAGCGAATTGGAGTGGATTTCACAGCTAGATCAAGCAAAGGGTTCGACTTTAGTAGACTTGAGTATGGGGCACGACAAGGGAACCGATTTGATTGGAGGTGGTCTTCTATCGGGACTAGGGCAGAGAATTAGGAGGTCGGGATTTGGAAGAACGGGTTGGCGACATTGGTTGAGGGAGGTCGCAGGTCATACGACATTGGGAAGTGGAAGAGTCAAGGTTGTGATATGGGCAGCTGGCTGGGTTGTGAAGTCGAGGTCGGTGTTCGACGGGATTATGAATGAGCTGAAGGCGATGAATAGGGATGAATCGGGAAGAGGCTGGGTAAGATGACTAGTTGGCGGCCAGTGCGAGAGGTATTGTGGCACAGTAACAGGAAATCGGGTTATATGAGCGATTGATGGTATTGCGGGTTGTAGGATCGAGCGAATGGGTGCGGATGTGTGGGGCTTCATGCGAGCAGGAGGAGATCGGCACAGGGATTCGAGAGGATCAATGGCTTGTATGCAGGAACAAGAGCCGAAGGCTCCTCTTCTTCTCCCTTTTTATCAATCAAGAATAAGGCATGAATGGCGTCGGTACAGGATCCGCGAGAAGTGACGTAAACGGCATCGAACAGGTAAACTTGATTTAAGCGATATTTTGACCAGATTTTTGGGATCCGTATTTTGGATTTCATTTGGAGATCAACACAAATAATTATAAATGAGATAAGTTAGTTTAATTTATAATAGCTACTTCATAGAAAATATTATTAGCTATTATTCATTTTGTGCCCATGCAAAATTTGGATGCACATGAAAATATAATATCAATGTTTTAGTTGGTGATAACTTTGCTTGCCTTTGCATACGTCAACATAAATAAACAACTGGTCGCATTCGCAAATATATAAATATAATTTTGCAAGTACATTTATATCCCATATAATGTCCACATTTCAAGAAAAGGAATAGTTTTAAAAATTGGACTACACCGACTAGTTTAACTCGGACCCAATCGAGCAGCCAATTCCATCAATTGTCGAACCTGAGATTGAGCAAAACTGAGGGACAAGGAATTAAACTGCGGTTCAACCGCTGAATCGGCTGACCGAACAAGTTTTTTAAAAACCACACAATTTAAAATTTGTGTATCATGAGCTGTTAATTTTGAGACAGACGGTCGAGATGATAAAAAACTATTTGTTAAATTCTAAAAACATAATTTAAATTTCTATTTATCTTTCTTCTCGTTCCCGACCCCATCCATGACCGACCACCCGTTAGCTTGTTTTGTTCCCGAGCTGCGTGAGACGAAAGCTTTGCCAGCACTATTTGTCTTCGCGGACAACTCCTCTAATCTCTCGGCCTCCTTCACAACCATATCTCATTGCAAATATCTACCGAAAGTGTTATATTTCGCTAGGTTTCGCCAGCTAAATAAAATTTTCTTGCTTCATATTATTAAGATTTTGAGTTTCAATTTTATTTCCATCCATTTCAATTTTATTTGTTTATACTTTATACTTTAAAGTCTTGATGTTGAGCAATTTAACATTTGAAAACTATTAGCATTCGTGATGTTTGTCTGGATTTTGTTTCTATTGCAACCGGCATGCTTATTTTTTATGATGGAATGAAATTATTTAGGCATGATTATGATGATGGGTTAAGGACATTACGCCCTACTCAAATATTCTTCCATTGCCATCTAAATCTATGAGGATATTTGATGGTTTGATGTTTCCCTGAACTAGAGAGGATCCTGAAGGGTAAGTGTGGAGGAAA